CATAACCCCCATACATGCCTAGGGGCTGTACCCAGCGCTGATCAGACCTCTACAGCAGGATTTGATATCATACCTGTCTCACAATACAAGGATTAACTAAGGTTACAAAGTTCTGAACACTGCAATCAATGTATTAATATTATTTTTGAAAAATTACAAGGGTTATGAATGGGAAGGCGCATTTTGCACACCAGAATCCAATCACGCTCATTACGTAACGGCATGAAACACCCAGAAATCACTTAGGACAGCATGTTTGCCATGTTAGCCACCCACCAGGTCTTCACACTTCACAGGCACTTCTCTTTCCACAGAGGTGGAAAGGCAATTTTGAAAAGGAACACAAATGTTTATAAATGGAACCAAAATGATAAGTTCCTTTCAGCTTCTCTACTAAAAAATTTCTTATTCGTTGCCACCCTCCCAGACTCTGCAGTATGTTATTCCAGAGCCTCTTCAAAAGTCTGTTTACTCCATCTTTCCCAGCATCAACTCATACAATGCAATCTGTTGAGGTTCCTGGGCATTTACATTTAAAAGCGCTTCCCTAAAATGGACATCTGCAGACCCTTAGTTTTTATCCATATTTGCCAAGTACTTTACAGAAATTTCCAGTAATGCAGTGCTTGGAATTCCTTATAGGAAATATTCTGACATCCAAAGCAGAGGTAAATGCCTCACTAACCACTAAGTATATAACAGCACAATGAAAAAATGAATACAGTGATGAATCTGATGTTTTAAATCCAACAACAACAACCAGAACTGCTATGATCCTGCTGACTGCATTCTACAACAAAGTCCTGAGATGCTGACTGTAAGAAAAAACAGACAAACCACATTTATCATACACTTGGATTCCCCCCAGCCCCCAGGATTACATGATAGACATGTTTTCACTCGCTTGCAGAGACAAGCTGTAGCTGTAATTCTTGTCCCGCTGGTAATCTTAGTTCTGTTTGTATTGTATTGTCTACTTCATTTTCTCCCTGTTTTTCCATATATATGCATGCTGTTTAGAGTCTCATCTTCTATCATTTACCATATACCCTATTTGTTTTCATTCTAAAAGGGCCAAAGTTTTCATGTCGCAGCAGGGTAACAGAAGGAGTCATGGATAACAGAGGTTATCCATGAAATACAGATTACAGCAATTGTGTTTCTTCATGTTAAACCTGCATCCAGCACATCACAGTCAATCCTTCATAAAACAAAACATTGTATTAGTTGCTGAGAACGCTCATAATAACTTCATATGATAACCCACAAGAATTGCAAAAAGGAAAACCTGAGTTCAAGTAACGTCTCATGTTTAGTGACATCACAGGAGATCCTGTGAATCAAGCTCCGATCCCAGGAAGCGATCCTTCGTTCATGTCCTAGAAGGACATAAACATCCCTGCAGGCATATGCCCAGGAGGGGTAAGCGGAAGCAATAGCAAACTTCCACAACAACGCCCTCTTCGGTTTTGGTTAATTTGCAGTATCTACTTATGCTGCTCCTCTATTTATTTTTACATTTCAAAGTTTCATACTACTATTTTTCATGCTATTTCATGCTACTATTTCACTACAACTTTTAAGAGGTGTCTGTTTATATCGCAAAATTTACTTTCTCTGCACTTTTCTTTGCATCTTGGGTTTTTTTTTTTTTAATTTCATTGTAAGACTCCCTTGAAGGTAGGCTAAGCTTTAGCCGTTCTGCATGCTACATAGCAGCAGAAGCATCACAACAGGTTGCCCAAAGAGGTTGTGAAGTCTTCATGTTTGGAGATATTCAAAAGTCATCTGGACAGGCTCCTGGGCAACCTGCTCTAAGTGACCCTGCTTGAGCAGGGGGGTTGGACTAGATGATCTCCAGAGGTCCTTTCCAACCTCAACCATTCTGTGAATTGAATATGACATTACAGAACTCTGACAGAAAGCTTTACACCTAAATCATGTATTATCAAGCAGCCCTGCAGACCATTATTGAGCTCACGCTATAATGACAGTTTAATTTGCCTTAAACTTTCTGATGTTGTATTGGTCTCTTGGCAATATAATACCTTCAGGCAAGAAAGTGAAACAGAAGATTAAGTTAGAGATATATTGGGCAGCTTCCTCCTCTTCACTGCCTATGTCCAGCTCCATGCTAAGGAGATGCAGAATTTTCATGATTCTGATTTTTCTCATTCACATGTCCTTTCACTCTGATGATATCTTTCTCAAATCAAAAACATTAAAATTTACTTTATAGCTCTAGCTTGGCCCTCCTATATTACAAGAGGGCATAAGTCAGTGAGCGTTGCTTGGCACTGGTTTCCCAACATTTGCCTACGCTGACAGTGAACAAAGATTATTGAAGCAGGTTCACATGCACAAACCTTTATTTGCAGGCTCCACTGCTGATGGCATACATTGACTCAAATTACCTTAGGGGAAAAAAAGAAAAGAGAGAAAGGGGGAGGGGCAGGAAAGGTAAAGCAAAAATTCTCCACAATGGCCAGCAGGGAAGAGAAGCTGGATCCCCAGATACACATCCTTCTCTGGGTATTCTTCTCCAGGGTAGCTGGAAATGGCAACAATGAAGATTACAATTTTTGCCATGTTTCCCCTCTAGTCAGACTTTTAATCGGGCCTACTCAAAGTCCTTATTAGTTGCTCCCATTTCTGATGCTATTAGCACTGATTGGAGCACAGCTGGATGAGGTGCAAGCACTGCATGCTGACCATTAAGCTCCATGCATTATTATTTTGGGGTCATATTTATTTAAATGACTATTATCTAGTATATTATTCACTAAGCCTTGTTATTCCAACATAAAAGACAGGCTACACCACAAGGGGTAGAAAGGGGGGGGGAAGGAAAAGAGGGAAGAAGTCAACCCCATAAGAGTGGCAATCACTTTGCAAGAGAAAACCAGCAAAACAAGTAGTTTTGGAGTTTGCAGGTGCACAACAGCAGGTGGATGAGGTGCTATGAGCACAGTATAAAGAGTACAGGAGTAACACTCTCACAGTAACCTCAAAACAATTCACCGCAGCTTAGATGAAAGGTTACAAACCTGTGAGCAAGAGTCAGGTTACAAACAGGCAATAGGCAGCCTTAGGCATCATAAAAGTCATGGCAGCGAGGCCTGCACACCGTGGGGATGGCATCACTGTTTGGCCATGAATTCTCTGCCCTGCGAGCTCCTGTCCTCACACGAGCCATCCCCCCCCTCCTCCTCCTCCTCCTCCTCC